TATCAACGAGTGTTGATAAATTTGAAATCAAAAGACATGAGGGTGAGATTTTATTTATCATCCAACATCATTCTTCAAACATTTACAGTTTATAGACAATAATTAGCAGTGTCTTCAGTGTTAAAAGTACTGCTAACAGCTTCAGTAGCAGAGCCATTAGTGATGTCATTTGGTTGTGACGTCATGGTAACCAGTGACGTCACAATGGTCTGCAAAGCATTGTGATGCAATTATAGATATCGCTTGATTTCATCCAAGCGATATCTCCCGTGGGAGCCAGTTTTGGATGATAAATATACATCGCACTGGCCAAGCGTAAAAAATAAGGGTGGAACCAGTGAGAAGACATATGATGCTAAATGCCAGTGGAACGGTATGACTCTAATGTGACTGTATGACTCTAATGTGACTGTATGACTCTAATGTGACTGTATGACTCTAATGTGACTTCATGGGTGAGTATGGTTTTACGCCGCTTTTGGCAATATTCCAGCAATATCATGGCGGGGTACACCAGAAATGGGCTTCACACATTGTACCCATATCCGGAATCGAACCCGGGTCTTCGGCGTGACGAGCGAACGCTTTAACCACACGGCTACCCGACCGCCCGGAAGTCACTTTGGGTCATGGTTTAAAACGTATTTGGCAAGGTCGCACACCGTATTCCCAAGAAATATTTTTATCAGTTCTAGTACAGGCCTTGGGGCCAGATCTTCACGGTGTCGGAACGGGAATCGAATTTAAAAATAAAATAAAGTAGAACCCAGACATCAAATAAGGACTGGGGACTGGGACATCGAATAGCTAGAATCGCTGAAGCAAGTCTGACGTTTTGGCTGCAGTTTGAAAAAGTGGACACGTATGGCTGAAGGAGTTAAATTTCTAACCCAGGGCTCACAGGCGAAACAAACTACCCCTCTATGTTATATTTAATAGTGTGTTGTTGAAGACTCATACTCCTTGTGATCTTATAACAGGTTCGGCTGAATGATGCGCGGCTGTGGTCGTCTCTGCCGTGATGACAGTGGTGCATGTAGGTTGGTCTGGTAGTAGTTTTATCGCCGTGTACCCGGGGCACCTGGCTATCTCACCTGTCATCAGATCGATTAAACCCACGCAAGAAACTTGCCAAACTGACTCACCTGCGTTGCGGGTTATAGAGGACCTTGAGTTTTGATTGAGACACCCACGTTTAAAAAGCCCCAAGTGTGTCATATATTGACAGCGTTTTACGCCGTCCCGTGACCCCGCCCACTGTTTGTCACGGCTGAATGGGTTTGTCGTCTACTCAACCTTATCGATTGAAAATCATTTTTTGTAATTGACACATCCAGCTGATGTCAAGTGATGTATATTTCTGCCAGTCACTGTCGACAGGTGTTCATATATCAATCGCCTCATGATGAATGCACGGGACTATGCGAGACAACATCGCATTGTGCACTGTACGGGAGTTACAATAATAATAATAATATGCATAAGAAATATGTTCAAGATAATACTCTTATAGAAACACTATACAACCATTTTAGAATACATTTCTTAAACGCGGTAGCGTTGTGGTCCCGATAAATGGAATATATATATAGCATTGGTTGCTGTGTACAGAAAGAATGCATGCATACGAATTGAAATGTTTAAACAAGTGCTCGACCCGGTGTGTGTGTGTGTGTGTGTGTGTGTGTGTGTGTGTGTGTGTGTGTGTGTGTGTTTAGGTGTGTGTGTGTTTAGGTGTGTGGATGGAGGGTGGTATACTTCAGTCAGAGCAAAACGTACAATCTTTTTTTCTTTTAGGGGGTGGTAGGGGTTGGGGACAATTCAGTATTTATAAAACCCCTGAGCAAATTATTTATTCAGCAATATCGGCGACATGATTAGTTTTGGGGGAATAAAACAGCAAATAATGTCCCCGACCCTCCGAACTCCCAGAATATCATATGGTCGGGCCCTACCAAAATATCCCTAGAGGTCACGAGGGTCACTCGACCATGGAACGTGTTATTGATAGTGAGTGAGTATTGTGTTAAACCAGTGAGTGAGTGAGTGAGTGAGTGAGTGAGTGAGTGAGTGAGTGAGTGAGTTGTAAGCTTCTGTTCGGGTTAGGGTTGGACTAAGTATGTATAGGAGGTAGTTCCTGACGCTGAATCTTGTTAATACGAGTCACGGAGTGTGAAGCGCTGAGTGTGCAGATCAACTGGTTGAATACAGAAATGGCGGCTGTAAACCCCAAACCGGATTGACTGCAATGAAGGTGTCGGGTGTCAACACAAATCTGGGTTGACTACAGTGAAGCTACCGGGTGTTAGAGACTGGGTTGACCACATGCGTCGGGGGTAACAGGTACCCGGGTTGACTACAGGTGTCGGGGGGTAATAAGCACCTGGGAGGACTAAAGGTGTCGGGGGTAACAGGTACCCGGGTTGACTACAGGTGTCGGGGGGTAATAAGCACCTGGGTGGACTAAAGGTGTCGGGGGTAACAGGCACCTGGGTTGACTACAGGTGTCGGGGGGTAATAAGCACCTGGGTGGACTAAAGGTGTCGGGGGTAACAGGTACCCGGGTTGACTACAGGTGTCGGGTGGTAATAAGCACCTGGGTGGACTAAAGGTGTCGGGGGTAACAGGCACCTGGGTTGACGACAGGTGTCGGGGGTAACAGGTACCTGGGTTGACTACAGTGAAGCTACCGGGTGTTAGAGACTGGGTTGACCACATGTGTCGGGGGGTAACAGGCATCAGGGTTGAACCTAGGTGTCGGGTGTTCTCACACTACAGGTGTCGGGTGTTCTCCCACTACATGTGGTTGTATGTCAGGGGGGGGGGGGGGGGGGGGTTGTGGCTGTCCCACCAGGGCACTTATTGCCAGGAATGCGCACACAAAGTGCAGACGAACATCAAAACCACCTGCAGGCTGCTGGCATCTGCCGTGACAGCACGGTGTATATACTTAGTGCATCCCCCTCTCCCTCCCATCCCCCATCATGTACTACAGACTAGCCGAGACTACAAAAAGTAACTAAAGTAACTATAAACTGTCAGATCAGGCGTGACGGTAATTATAACGAAACAGACAAAATAAAATGCTCATCCTCATCTTCATCTTCCATTAATTTCCTAATTCGGGCACGAATTCGGGTAAACGAGGTTCCTCAATTGTTTATCCCTATCCCAACTATATTAGTTCATGATACTGATTAGTTAGGGTCAATTTCTACCTAAACACGTCCTTCCGATGAGGAGAATTTCAGATAAACGTGTTGCGGCAGTTGGTAGTAAAATAGGTCAAGTATTGATGCACATGTACTGGCAAAACTGGTCAGGGTTAGGGAATAATTATAAGGATGGATATCATAATTTATGTTGAGAAATATACATCATCATCATAATGTATACGGGGGGAAGGACATTCAGCTGGGCATTGTGGAGCTTCGGGTTTTGAAAGTTAAAACAACTGGCATTTATGTCTACAATTTAATTACGCCCTAGCTATCATTTTACTGTTTATGAATAATAATTGCGGGCGTCCGATATCAGTGTTAATATCACGCTAGCATCTGACCGAACACAGAGCAGAGAGCTTTCGCTTGTGAAACCGCATATGACGTCAATAGCATTGTTAATTTCAATCATTACAGGAAAAAGACACTGCGATGTTAAACAATGATTATTGTATCGGTAGATATGATGAAAACAATGAGCCATTATCGTCTTGATTGACAGTAATGGACATGAGTAATCAATTTCAAACAGAGCTACTCGTGTCTCCCGACGTGTAAAGATTCTGCACTGTTACAATTATGACCTGGCACGATGTATATACGGCTTTAGAGAGGTCGAGGAGTACAAGCGAGCGGCCCAGTGCTCTTCCAAACCCATCATCACTGACGAATATGCAAATTTGAGCTACGCGCACGTGTGTTACCTTATTTTCATCCATAAATGTCGGGTCATGTGGCAACACCTTCATGTCCGATTTTTTTCATAATTATGTTCATATATTATGCTTAACAGTCCGTCCATGACGTAATTTGGTCCAGATTTAAACAAAAGCACAATTGTTTTACAAATATAAGACAACGTTTATACATTTCGCAAGAAAAAAAAGTTGTAGGCTGCCTTTTATCAGTATATAGCATACATATTCTGTGCCCTACTTACACAGGGCGACAGCGGACAAAGTGTCTGGCAATATGCCATCTTTGTTCGTTTCAAAACAGAAATCGACACCAGCTATGAACATGGAAATATACAACTATAAAGTATTGTTTACGTAATTCTTTCCGATATATGTGTTGGGATAATTACGGTAGAAGTGATCAAGCAGGTGCGGTTGTGAGTTTATTCTGCCTGATCACAAAGCTGCGATTGTGGTGACCGATGGTATGACTCACCAGAGGAAATTGACGTGCAAGTTGGTGAAATGTACATGTTCATATGTCATATCTGTGAAGCATGACTGATTGCTAATGAAGACGTCAAATGTGTCTACATTGCACAGATAGGACTCAAGCAAATCGTAAGACTGCCACACATGAAATCAGATAAATATTACCGAGTAATAATAGACAAATAGGGTATCAACTTGCAAATGAAAATATTGTTTATACTGTATTTCCAGACGTATTTATATAATGTTTGGATATATATAGCTTCGAAACTATATGCAGTGTATTATGAATGTATGTGGTATTCAATGTGACAAATTATTAATGGGTCGACTTAATTAATAAGTAAACCTCTCTCAGACAGTCGTACCACGCGCCTTCCAGCGAGGACAAACACACCAATCCATACCCAATAAAAGTCAGATCATTAAATATCGCTTTCGGACATTTTCACACTATCCATTGGGATATATACTTCATCAGAAATTGACATGGATAATATGTGCACAATAGATCACAAAGGTACGAGAATACTCTCAAAAAGCGCAGACATCTGCATGTAATATTATCAATACGAGTTCAATAAACACAACAGAAGTGAGTCTACGATACCTTTAAAATATCCTGGAGCCTGACTGGTGTTTCCGCGACCGTTTCAACGCTCCAACTGAAGCATACTGCTTGCCGAGACCTGTTATATACAAGCTGTCAATCATCGGCACGCGCGCCACAGTCGACAACGCCCCTCTGACCTATTTAGTCAACGGCTATGACGGGTTTGTTTGACTTATTTAAAAGCCCCATCGCCGCATTTCGTTACCACCAGGTATACGGCTCGACTGTAACGACAGTACAGACGTAAATATTGATTGATAAACTGTCGCACATTGCGCAGCCCACCTGAACGTAGAAACCAGACCGCAGCGACCATACTTATTACTAATCACTATAAATAGCGCAGCAGGGGAATCCCCTCTCCGAGCGACGGAGCGGCTTGTCTGGTGTCAAGGCTACAAGACGGGCATTATCAAATTGCGCTGTCGTCGTCGTCGTGTGTGTCTCTCGCTAAATATTAATACTGATGTATCGTGGGCGCATTAAACTCTTGCAAGACTCCATATATGGTACTGGTGTAAAAGGAAAACATGCATGAGGAAATTGCGTTTCGACATGGTTTCTTTAAATAATGCTACCTACTAACTCTTTTGTACAAATCGATTTCTTTGTGGACAGGTTTAACGGCGGGTATTGTAGTCATTAAATATTTTCTATCTTTAACGCTTAACTCGCGTGTTAATCGAAATTCATATCTTGGGCATGCTTTATTAAACAATATCACCAACAAATAATCAAACGACCCTCATGGGTCTTAATATGAGCTAGTTGTCTTCAAGCTTCGCTACTTGAAATGTTAATGAACTGCTCGTCGATTGCAACTGGATTAGTGTTAGTAAATATCTCGCTTTATCCGTACACTGAGAGCTCGATGGACTCGAAATATCAGTTCTTATCTAACGGGATCGATTGATATAGCGTTCAATATAGATCTTTAAATTTAATCGACGTTCGTGTTTCGTCAATAAGTATCAGTTATGCCTAAAAACCTTGTGTCCTTCGTCAACGGATTGTGTATCTTAATTCTTTCATACAAGACCCCCCAAAACCCAGACTACGGCCACCCCGCTATTGCTGATTATTCCGACCACGTCAGTAGCCTCTGTCCAACAAGGACCCCGCTATTGCCACACCTGATTATTCCGACCACGTCAGCCTCTCTCCAACAAGGACCACGTTATTGACTCACCTGATTATTCCGACCACGTCAGCCTCTGTCCAACAAGGACCACGTTATTAACAACCCTGATTATTCCGACCGCGTCAGCCGTTGTCCAACAAGGAACCCGTTTTTGACTCACCTGATTATTCCGACCGCGTCAGCCGTTGTCCAACAAGGACCCCGTTTTTGACTCACCTGATTATTGCGACCACGTCAGCCTCTGTCCAACAAGGACCCCGTTATTGCCACACCTGATTATTCCGGCCACACATCCGGTGTATATCTGAGTCTCGCATATACATCCCAAATTCTTAAAAAAAATATATCAATTTTATTAAAAAAATATAGTTTCTTTCGCTGTTTAGGATGCTACCAGATATCCATCACACTTGGTTATTGTGAAATAAAGTCTGTTCCCATCCAGCCTGCCTGAATGGTCAGATTCCAGCAGGAGTTCTCACTTATCGCACAGCCCCAGGGAGAGATCTGACAGTCAAAGCCACACCCAGCTGGTGTGCCGGGCCGTGTCCAAAAAACCGTGACAACCATGCAGAGGTTTGACCCAGTTTAAGTGACCCACTGGTCTGGCCTATTCAAACCATGGCCAAAATTCACTCAAAGAGCGCTGGCACCTGACATGCATAAACATGAATTCCTTCTCCCGGGGCCCGTAAATATTCATAACAACCAACTCGACGCACATGCTGATGGGCCGATTAAAGAACGCACAGTGTGATGTAAAAAATAGGAACTTTAACGTCCAGTGTATTGAATAGCCCATGTGGGCTCAGTCACAAATTCAGAATTTTTACTGCCGTCCTTGATAGGACCATTCCCGATTAAAATTTGTCAAAAGTCTGATCAAGATCCTGTGATTCCTGGTGGAAAATTCCCGAAAATTCCCGATCCTCTCGTTCTCAATCCGAATCTGATCCGATTTGTATCTTCCGCAAGGTAAAAAACCGACCGAATCTGCCCCGACAGCGTCCCGATTCTCCCGAATGCGATCCGACAGAGATCAGACAGTGACCGGACAGTGTACAGACAAAGACGGTTCGCATTCGGCAAGATCTGGACGCATTCTGGACAATTCATGCCTTATAAAAGGCGACTATGCTTGTCGTAAGAGGCCACTAACGGGATCGGGTGGTCAGGCTCGCTGACTTGGTTGATGCATGTCATGGTATCCCAATTGCTTTGATCCATGCTCATGATGTCAATCACTGGATGGCCTGGTCAACACTCTAATATCTACAGACCGCCGTCATATAGCTGGAATATTGCTGAGTGCGGCGTTAAACAACAAACAAACAAAACAAACATCACATATATTCCGTTCAGAGACTAGACGTAGCCTACGGTGCGGACTTCGCACAATCAATCGCATACCGTTGGAGACACACCTTTTCGTGACATTGTTCTATCATCAAGGTAAATAATAGAGGGGGGGGGGGGGGGGGGAAGAATAAGACGTTCCGTCATTGCCAAGGGTAGTTTTACATTTCAGGTAGCTCTTTCTCGGTCAAAGACGAGGAAGTCCTGCATGGTCTAAATGTATAACGGTTAATGCATAATGACTGTCGCGGGGCTATCTTGGTAGAAAACAATCTGACCAGTTGACAATCTGACACATACTATCTGCATACGACTGTACTTCCATCGTCAGCGTACATTATTCGACACAGATTTGTTTTATTTGTCTGCTAGTTTGTTGTTTAACGCCGCACTCAGCAATATTCCAGCTTTTTGACGGCGGTCTGTAAATAATCTAGTCTGGACCAGACAATTCAGTGATTGACATTATGAGCATCGATCAACACAATAGGAATAACATGACATGCATCAACTAAGTCAGCGAGCCTGACCACCCGACGCCATCTGGGCATCGTGACACGATATTGACTGACTGACCACTCCATCCAGTGTTACTATTTGACCGAACGTGTCGTTTGATAGCAAACGACAAACCATACTGGTGCCGGGGATATGATCCACGAAGACGCTTGTCCCCATCCCCATTCCTATATACGCAGCATCCCTCATGTCATGTGACCCCAGTCATTTCCTCTCTTAACACATTTGTCATATTTCATTTCTGACATGAATCTCGTTTGCTCCACCAGTGCGTAATGGTAATGAAAAAAGCCTCGCTATACGAGTAATGCCAATTTCATGTACATTATCAAGTTGCTGACACACCGAGAAATATAACAACACAATCGTGTCGCTACAATCAGATGGCGTTATTTACCAGACAGGACTGCTGTCATCTTTACAACCTGAGACGCTGCACCAGAACTCAAACTACACTCGATTATCCTCAAAAGTATCAAATTCCAGAAAATTCAGCAGTACAGCGAAGTTTGTTCAGTAGATCTAAGCGTAAAAATCGATATTGTGATTCAGGATTTTCCTCGAACACGTCACACTGCTTGTTGGAAATCCCGACTTTCATTGACTGATAGAAAATATAATATATCAAATAGACGAATTAATTAAATTGATGAAACTGAAAAATCGTACATGAATATATTTACGTTGTTTTGTATTATTTAAATCGAGTCGGTGTTAATTGTGTCCGTCTGAAGCCAGTGATCAGCTGTTGTGTGTGTAGTGCACGTACACTCGTGTCGCCATCCCGCCAGACAAGTCACTCACAACACATGGTGTGCATCGACACCTACATGCCTTACATTCCTGCACTGCAGGTGGTGATATTGATGTTGTAATGCACACAGCGCATGTATGTAGATATATGTATTTAGTCATTAACGAGCACGGGTGAAATGGACGAATGTCGATAACAGTGGTGATATATATCACGACGTGTCTATTAGCTTTGTACTGTCAATATTCTAGGAATTTTAGGATTTACGGAATAAGGAAAATCTCAGAGATTGTGCTTGTCACGCGTATTGTCTGTTATCTTACGAGGGGTCGTCGGGTTGTATTACTGGTCTGTTTAAATTCGGCCGTTTTCTTTTTATACTTTTAATCATTATTTATATGTTTATTAGTTTTCATATATACATGAATTATATTTTTGCAGTGGTAACCACGTGCAGAGCACCATTACGCCATGAAAATACGGGTCAGAATGGGTCTTCACGGTAGCAGCCACTCATTGTAAGGGGGCGAATAACGGGATCAGTCGGGCTCGCTGACTTGGTTGATGCATTTCATCGTATCCCAATTGCGAGGATCGATGCTCATGATGTCAATCACTGGATTGTCTGATCCAGACTCGATTATTTTCAGGCCGCCGTCATATAGCTGGAATATTGCTGAGTGCAGCATTAAACACACACACAAACACACAGTCAAACAGTCAAACAAACAGTACAATACGCCTGGAGGTCCTAATTGTATCTTTTCGAGGCCATCTCCCCGGGACTGACAACAGTCTTGATTTAGTCCAATTAGAAACACAGTTCCTAATATCCAAAGGCAATAGCAAAGACCCCCAGACCCCAGTTCTGTGTACGTGAATACACAGGAAATAAAACAATACAATTCCCCATGTTATCGCATGCCTCATTAGATATCAAACATATATGATAATATGTAAATCAACTTTTTACGTTATTAAACGTCAGAAATAGAGATATTATTTTAATAAATAACGTGATTGTGCATACTCGGACGCTTGTTCAGTATACAGACAAATATAATTATAATTTTTATCCTGCGAACGCCCCCTATCTGGTCCCCGTACATATTAGCCATGTTGGGACTCAAACCCAGTCCTACTACGAGAAGAGGTTACAAGAACTGGTCCTACCCTAAATTCCTGGACTCTAAACAGTAGATTAACGGTGCATTAAACCCAATAAAAATCATTCCTGTACGATGTGTTGTCATAATTATTTCCAACAGTGCTCTGTTATTTGCAACGTTAATAGTAATGATATTGTACTTGTTTGAACAACACGAGTGGATGGATAGCCAACAAGCGTCACGTCTAACCAAACCTCAAATTGGATTAGATACGTGCATGTCGATCAAGCGCCATGTATATTTCAAACTCTTGTACATTTCATGGTCTGACGACGAGCCATGCCGTTTGTTCATTGTCTACTGTTGCATATTTAACGCTAGAGAGTCGCTAATCCGTGTTTGACGTACATATCCCCGAAAAT